ACCTCTGGCATCAACAAGCCCTTTGCGCCCACAGAACTGCCGCTCACGGGATAATTTCTCTTTTTCGGACCACATATTTACAAAGTAAAGATCGGAGGCTATAAATGTGGCGGTAAACTTAGAGATTATGGCGCATAATATAAGCATCATTTGCATCCAGTCACCAGATTGCTAATTAAACAGTCGGATTTGAGTGGTTTTGTCAGTAGAAGCCCAAAAGCTTCTCTACACAGTGACTAATTGAGTTTCAAAAGAGACTTTGCAAAAGCTGACAGTGATAAAGATGACTGAAAGCATTTCAAATGAAAAACCCTGCCATACGAACACAACACAGTGCTGGAGATGCAGTTAGCTGAAGTCTGTCAGAACACATTCACTTCACTGCTCATAATCGCATCTTTTGCCTGCTGGCATTTGTAAATAATGCACAAATGCAGTTCTGAGCCTGGTCGATTCTTTGCATCAAGTATCGCCAGCGTTTAACAGCATGTCTGAGAAGCAGATGTAGGAAGCCGCATCAAAAACGGCAAGATAAATAAGGAATTAAAGTTGCTGTCGCTAAATAAACACCACGTGCAGTGAATGCAGTTCACCTCTAGATGTCACTGCTCTGTTCTGCTCTTTATATTCGGAAATCGTGACACAATAAGGCTTAAATATCACTCACATTCATGTCAGCTTTGACTTTCAGCGTATCAAACTGTGATATCACATCAATTCCCATTCCCGGAGCAGTTGTGTGGAATAATAATATGGTGCTTTTGAGAATATGAACCCCTGACTGAAGGTTCACGAGTTCAATTGCTGGCTGATAGACTGAAGGCAAACCATTTCTGCCTGGAAACTGACTCACACATGAGAGTGAAATTAAAATATTAAAAAAAGTCTAAAACATTAGCTAATAACATTGACCGAATTTATTTTCATTGACTAACCTTCACACATATAAACATATGTCATAATGTATTGTTCATAGTTTGGTCACATATTAATGTGATTGCTACTGTACGTAATTTACACTCACCGGCCACTTTATTAGATACACCTGTCCATATTTATCGTTAACGCAAATTTCTAATCAGCCAATCACATGGCAGCAACTCAATGCATTTAGGCATGTAGACATGATCAAGATGATCTGATGCAGTTCAAACTGAGCATCAGAATAGGGAAGAACTATCGTGTAATTTTTTAAATATTTGTCAGTTTTCCCGAAGCAAATAGGAAAAATACTAATCAAACTGAAATAAAATGTATTTATTATTTTGTGCAATATGCAGTGGCGCAGTGGGGAGTGCTGTCGCCTTACAGCAAGAAGGTTGCTGGTTCGAGCCTCGACTGGGTCAGTTGGCGTTTCTGTGTGGAGTTTGCATGTTCTCCCCATGATGGCGTGGGTTTCCTCTGGGTGCTCCGGTTTCCCCCCACAGTCCAAAGACATGTGGTACAGGTGAATTGGGTAGGCTAAATTGTCCTTAGTGTATGAGTGTGTATGGATGTATCCCAGAGATGGGTTGCAGCTGGAAGGGCATCTGCTGCGTAAAACATATGCTTGATAAGTTGGCGGCTCATTCCGCTGTGGTGACCCCAGATTAATAAAGGGACTAAACTGGAAAGAAAATGAATGAATGAATGAATTTTGTGCAGTTTGTATGCGTTTAGGCATTTATGGACAGTTTTGGTCTGGAAAAATGCAAGTTATTTTTGCTCATTTTTATTTCCTTTTATTGACTGTTAGTTTCATATTTATTTATTGTGAATTTTAAATTCTATTTTTTGCAGACAATTTTTTTTAAATCTTTATCTTTATTCTTAGTTTTATTAACTCTTAAGTAATTTTAGACATTTTAAGGTGAAAAATGCAAGTTATTTTTGCAAATTTTTATTTTTATCATTGACTTTTAGTTTCAGTTTTTTATTGTGAATTTTAAATTCTATTTTAGCAGACAAATGTTTTTAGATCTTTAGTTTTAGTCTTAATTTTGTAAACTCTTTGGTGATTTTAGACGTTTTTGAGGTGAAAAATGATGATTATTTTTGCTAAATATTACTTTATTTCAGTTTTTTAGTGACTTTTGTTCGGTTTACTTTTAATTTATTGAGAACTTTGTTTAATTTCTAATAAAGAAAATGTTTTAGACCAACACTGTAGCTGTAGTTTCATTCTGAGTTTAAGTTTTGTGAGTGTTTTGGCATTTTTCTGGCACTGGAAGACAATTATTGTTTTTGCTAATTATTATTTAATTTTAGGTAATTTTTCAGTGACTGTTGTTAGTTTCGTTTTGTTTGACTTGTTCATTTATTGTGAATTTTTAATTGTATTTTAATTGTACTATTGACCAAAAGTTCTAGTCTGAGTTTGAATAAAATGACAGTACTCATCTGTCATTTTCCTGTTGCTGCTGGTGTTAGTCGTGTGCTTTGTGTGCATTTAGGCACCTTGGACAGTTTTTGCACAGGAAACCATCACCTCTGTCTGGCTACACTGTATGCAGGTGCATTGTGGAGCCACCTCAGAACCACACTCTCTCCTTCCAGGACGGTAATGTTATCAGGCAAGTGTCCGAACCCAGCCACCTGAGCTTCGTTTTAGTCTTAGTTTTGTAAGCATTCAGCTGTTTTTGGGGGGCTTGAAAACAGTTACTATTTTTAGCGAATGATTACTTTATTTCTGTTTTTCAGTGTTTTCAGCTTTACTTTTTCATTCATTGTGCATTTATTTTAGTTTAGTTAACAAAAATGTTTTTGACAAATAGTTTTATTTTTATGAGTGTTTTGGCAGTTTTTGTGGATTGAAAAGCAATTATTGTTTTATTTCAGTCTATCTGGCAAGGTGTGATGCGGAGTCACCTCAAAACCACACTCTTTCCTTCCAGGACGGTAATGTTGTCGGGCAAGTGCCTGAACTCAGCAGCCTTTTAGTTTGTGAGCGTTTAGGTGGTTTTTGGACATTTGTTAGGACTGGATAATGATTTATATATTTTTACTAACTATTACATTATATCAGTTTTTCAGTGACTGTTGTTAGTTTTACTTTTTCATTTCCTGTGAATTTTTTGTTTTATTTCAGTTAAGGAAAAATGTCTTAGTCTTAGTTTTGTGATTGTTTTGGCAGTTTTTTTGGACTGAAAAACAATTAAAATGTTATTTCGGCTAGTGTTTCACTGACTGTTGTTTTGTTTAATTTTTTTATTCATTGTGAATTTTTCATTCTATTTTCACTATTGTGCAATAGTTTCATTAAAATGACCTTGAGCAGTACTCATATGCCATTTTCCTGTTGCTGCTGGTGTTTGTTGTGTGCTTTGTGTGCATTTAGGCATTTCTTGGACAGTTTTTGGGCAGGAAATCATCAACTCTATCTGGCAAGTTTTGATGTGGAGTCACCTCACAATGCTCTCTCCTTCCGGACAGTAATGTTGACGGGCAAGTGTCCGAACTCGAGCTTAGTTTTTAGTTTTGTAATCATTTAGTTGTTTTTTAATCATTTTTGGGCAGGAAAATGTTATTGTTTTGGGAGTTATTACTTAATTTCAGTTTTTCAGTGACTGTGACAATTATTATTTTTGCTAATTATTATTTTATTTTAATTATTTTTTCAATTAAATGTTATTAGTATTGTTTAAAATTACCTTGAGCAGTACTCATATGCCATTTCCCTGTTGCTGCTTGTGTTTGTTGTGTGCTTTGTGTGCATTTAAGCATTTCTTGGACAGTTTTTGGGCAGAAAATCATCAACTCTATCTGGCTAGGTGTGATGCGGAGTCACCTCACTCTCTCCTTCCAGGACGGTAATGTTGTCGGGCAAGTGTCTGAACTCAGCCGCCTGAGCTTAGTTTTAGTCTTAAGTTTAAGTTTTGTAAGCATTTAGGTGTTTTTTCAATCCTTTTTGGGTAGGAAAATGTTATTATTTTGTGAATTATTACTTTATTTAGCTTTTTTAGTGACTGTGACAATTAATATTTTTGCTAATTATTATTTTATTTAAATTATTTTTTCAGTTTATGATGTTAGTATCATTTAAAAAGACCTTGAACAGTACTCATCTGTCATTTCCCTGTTGCTGCTGGTGTTTGTTGTGTGCTTTGTGTGCATTTAGGCATTTCTTGGACAGTTTTTGGGCAGGAAATCATCAACTCTATCTGGCTAGATGTGATGTGGAGTCACCTCAGAACCACACTCTCTCCTTCCAGCACGGCAATGTACTTGGGTAAGTGTCCGAACTCAGCCACCTGAGCTTAGTTTTAGTCTTAAGTTTAAGTTTTGTAAGCATTTAGGTGTTTTTTCAATCCTTTTTGGGCAGGAGAATGTTATTATTTTGTGAATTATTACTTTATTTAGTTTTTTTTAGTGTCTGTGACAATTATTATTTTTGATAATTATTAGTTTATTTCAATATTTTTTTCAGTTTATGTTGTTAGTATCGTTTAAAAAGACCTTGAACAGTACTCATACGCCATTTCCCTGTTGCTGCTGGTGTTTGTTGTGTGCTTTTGGGTGGTTTTGTGTGCATTTAGGCATTTCTTGGACAGTTTTTGGGCAGGAAATCATCAACTCTATCTGGCTAGATGTGATGTGGAGTCACCTCAGAACCACACTCTCTCCTTCCAGCACGGTAATGTACTTGGGTAAGTGTCCGAACCCAGCCACCTGAGCTTAGTTTTAGTCTTAAGTTTAAGTTTTGTAAGAATTTAGGTGTTTTTTCAATCCTTTTTGGGCAGGAAAATGTTATTATTTTGTGAATTATTACTTTATTTAGTTTTTCTTAGTGTCTGTGACAATTATTATTTTTGATAATTATTATTTTATTTAAATTAGTTTTTCAGTTTATGATGTTAGTATCATTTAAAATGACCTTGAACAGTACTCATACGCCATTTCCCTGTTGCTGCTGGTGTTTGTTGTGTGCTTTTGGGTGGTTTTGTGTGCATTTAGGCATTTCTTGGACAGTTTTTGGGCAGGAAATCATCAACTCTATCTGGCTAGGTGTGATGTGGAGTCACCTCAAAACCACGCTTTCCCCTTCCAGGACGGTAATGTTGTCGGGCAAGTGTCCGAACTCGGCCGCCTGAGCTCCACTGGGCCCTGCCAAAGAAAACCAGAGAGGAGACAGTAAGCAAAACAGCAGTTTTTCCAGCAACAGAAGGTCCACTTGATCCCCAAATCCCCCGGGCGGCTCGTCGACTACTGAGTACCTCATTGATCCTGGTCAGGCAGGATTTGTTTTTGTGGTTTCGCTTAGTTATTTGCTAGAAGAGAATAATAAGAGCGCAAAACGCCAGCATGGAGCCGTCAGCGCTGACCGTCAGCGGGCCTGAATAATGATTGGGTTGTGCCCCGTGCGCCGCCTGGCCGTGCACTCGTTGAACAGACCCGATAATGAGCCCGGGGAAGAGGATCCGCACGCAAGCGGCAGAGCGTGAAATGAAGCCACTGCAATGGAAACACACACACACATACACTCACACAAACACTCCCGTGCATAAACGCTGTCACTTGTGTACAAACACATACACGTGTGTTTTCATATGCACAAATAAAGCCGCACACAAGACTCATACTGGGATGTGAAGGACATCAGAGGAAATGTGAATTTGCTCGGCCCTGTTTGCAGGTGGCACCAATTCCTTTTTAGTTTTTTTTTTTTCAAACGCCATTCTTGTTCTTATCTATTCAGGGGTTTGCAAAAACACGCTCCAATTTCCTCTGCAAACAGAGATTAGCGTGCGACCGCTGCTAGCCCTGTCAATGCGGTTACAGTTAAGTACATCTAAAAGAAATGCCACACAAATATTTGCACTACCCAAGATGAACTTTAAAACAAATATACTCATTTAAGATAGTTGCCATGGAAACATTTCACATGTACTGTAATGTAACTTGATGTAAGTAAACTACAACTGAGATGAAATGGTATAAAAACAATATGAAAGTTAAAAAACACTTCAAAATAGGACCAAAAACTACAAAACTATGCAAGTGAGGCTAAAATTACACCGGCCAACCCCATTTGATTTTGTAATTTACTATTTGTAATCATTTTTAGCAATGTTTTTGTGGCATTTTTATTTTCAGATCTTAAGATCAGGTGTTGAATTTTTCCTTTTTTCTTCAAGATTTGTATTTGTTCTATTATACTGTAGCTTAAATGGATTCAACAGATTTTGATAAGAATGAGAAGGAAATCATTAGCAAACAAAACAAACTATCAAATATAACCAACTTATGATTGTAGTTTCTCAGCTACATGACTTAATATTTCATGATCATTTATTTCTCATAGCTTTAGCATCATATGCCATGATTCCACTTTATTTACCAAAATTGAAAGACAGATTTTTCAGAATTTATATTTATATCACATAACATGCCAAACTATATATATATATATATATATATATATATATATATATATATATATATATACAGTTGAAGTCAGAATTATTAGCCCCCCTGTTTACAGTTTTTCTCGATTGCTTGGATGCAGTTGTCTACTGAAACTCCACCTTTTCAAAACAGTTAACACACAGCCCTAAACACCAGCACTCATGGTCAAAATGACCCATTTTGCTTGCAAAAGGCACATATCGTGTCAAAACATTTAAAATACGCAACAAAAGCTAGTTTTACCTTCAAACAACACAACTTGCAAACAGGTATATGAGCTCTTTCAATTAATCATTACACCATGGACAACAAAATACAAAATGCAGAAGTCAGTGCACCAACATTGCTTGTCATTGTAGCCTATTGCCAATGCCATTTGTTGTCTCTATTTGGGCTGTCAAATTTACCTTTTTGCAAATAATTGGATCCAGAATAAGAAATGCTTTGATTAAATTTAAATTGAAATGATTACAATTTTCAAACTGTGGCTGAAAACTAAAATACTGTAAAAACAGACAAACGTAATAAAATACTGTAAATATTAAAGAAAACACATTTAAACCAATGTACAGTCAAATCTATTGGGAGTATAGGACATAGCCACTATTGACCTCCTCTATCCATGCTGGCACAGAACAAACAGACCTTCCACCGTTTTTAATGTTTGCAGACTGATTGCTAATTGAAGATTTGTGTTAAGGAGTGTCAAACCGGTGCTTCAGTGATTTCATACTGATCTTGAAAGTTTCTAATGGTTAGGAATAGATGGTTTCTGTTTGGTTACCATAGCTAAAACAATGGAGTTTGGACTGCTTGAATGACATCCGTGTTAACTGTTTTGAAAAATGGTGAGGAAAATGTGTCAACCCAATGAGAAAGGGTTCACACATTTGCAAGACATGTCTTCTGCTCTGCTGGGATAGTGAAAATAAAATGAAGTGGAACCTAGTTTATTTAACCAGGTCAAAGCAAACAAGAAAAACTGTATTTTTTTCCCCAATTTCTTTTTAACGGAGAGCACATTTCTAAACACATTTCTAAACATATTAGTGTTAATAACTCATCTCTAATAACTGATTTATTTTATCTTTGCCATGATGACAGTAAATAATATTTGACTAGATATTCTTCAAGACACTTCTATACAGCTTAAAGTGACATTTAAAGGCTTAACTAGATTTAGGTTAATTACGCATGTTAGGGTACGTCGGTGGATTTGAGACGCGGAGAGGAGCTGACCACGATGGCAACGACGACCGGGTTCGAGTCCGGGGAAGAGCGGTTCCAGAAATCAGGTAAGACAAAAACAAAATCCAAAAAATAAAGTGAACGAGTTCGTAACAGGGTGAGGATGTGGTGAAATCCGAAAACATGGAAAAAATCAGACGAGGGCTTTTCTTTATCTGGACGGCTTTTGTAAATTGTTGCTTGGGTTTAGGGTAGCAAGCGGGCGGGCGGGTCAATCGGTAAAACTGGTTGGGTTTAGGGAAGGAGGAGGAGGGTGGGTCGGCCGATTAGTGGGTCGCCAGTCAATCATTCAGCCAGTCAGACAGATGGTCACTCAACAGCGACCTCCAGTGGGTTTATGCGAAAATGTTTGCGCCCGCGAAAGACGTTCGAGATGCGAAAAAGCGCACACAACGGCCTCTCGCTGATTTGCAAAAACTATATTTCGCAGAAATGTCCACGGAATTACGCTTTCAGAATTAGCCTAGGTTTGGATTTTCAATTATTGACAATGTTTTCTTACAGGAACATGCATTAAATAAGTTACTGGTGAGTTACTGATGTGCGTTAATGTTCGAGCAACGGCCACTTTAATTATGAGATTAATGTAGCCAGGGACAAAAATTCAGCCCTGAATTTTCAGCCCTGGCACTGTAGCCACACAAATAACCACACCAACACAAATTACCACACCGACACAGCCCCACCCACGGACACGCACATTCACTATTAACTTTGGTGTACAGATGGTGAAATAATATGACATTCTTGCCAGATTTGGATTATGTCCAGGTAACCTCAGATTGGGTCGGCCCATCTTGAAACCAAGCGGCAATTGGCGATTGGGCCAAATGCTTAACATTTATTATTTTTATTATTATTCTTCTTCTTCTTCTTCTTCTTCTTCTTCTTCTTCTTCTTCTTATTATTATTATTATTATTATCATCATCAACATAATAGCATCTAGCAAGAGATAAAAGCTGTCTGCACTTAAAACAGTACATATAAAAAAAAAAAAAAAACTGACCGGCCCACATTTAAAAATTGGTCCGGCCCTTCTGGCATTGGCCTTGGACGCTCTCACTGCTTTCGGTGTGAATGCACAGTAAGTCACTTTGGACAAAAGTGTCTGCTAAAGGACTAAATGTAAATGTGAAGTGAGCAGATGTAAACAGACCCTAGAACTCAAAATTGTGTTGTATTTCACAATTGTTTACATTTCTATGCACTTGTCAGAAGGCCGGGAACACACGCAGAAGCTGTCACAAACAGAACCACATGCGTTTTCATAAGAAAATACAAAGAAATCACACTGTGCTTCAGGACATCAGAGAGGAATTGTGAATTCGCCGGGCCTGTTTGCAGGTGGCACCAACAACGTCAAATTCCTGTTTAGTTTTTCAAACGCCATGCTTGTTCTTATCTATTCACGGTTTGCAAAATACGCTCCAATTTCCTCTGCAAACAGAGATTAGCATGCTATCAGGACTGAGGCCTCCCTCTCTCGCTTAGCCACGTCAACGCTGCCAAAATGCCAGCGTGGCGCCAGCGTCTTCTAGTCCTGCTCATAATCCCTGTCATAACCAGCACTGGCCGTAATATCTGCCGGCCGGCATTGGGTCGTCCTGCCTGCAAGGTTTAATATGGGAAACACAAGTGCATTGGAGAGTTAAGAAGCAGCCGGAAGGTCTTGGTGTTTTAACGTGCATGCGGAGCCAGCGAAGCGACAGCTTGCCAAGAGTGATTGGAGAGAGGAAGACAAAAGGAGACGGCGGATTTTAAGCATGTGATGGCCAAGCGCTGGGCCTTTTTTAATTTGAGAGCGAGCCACGACGGAGGCGCCCCAAATTGCACAGAGTAATGAAAAGGAGCCTGGGCTGCATTGTCATGCGCGCCGCAGCATCGTACACAAATTGCATAAAGCTGCTTTGCATTATCCGCCGAAGTGACCAGCTATGGCACTGCTAAATTAAGTTTTCTCGACTTGCGGCACACAAGGGCACAGACTGATTTAAATCAGAGTAATTGCTTAATCATCTTTCATTATTTTCATTATTAATCATTCTTTATAAGTGCTTCCGTGTGCACATTTCAGCTGGTGTGTTTTTTTATGCTCGACTTATTCTGTATGAATTCTGCAATTGCTTTTTATTCATTTCATAAGAAATAGAAGGTTAAGTTGAGCTTAGCTTGCATTTTGCAATCTATATAAAAATCTTTGCACGAAAAAAAAATTGCATACTGGGAACAGTATTGTAGGGATGGTATACAGTTTGACCCAAAGAACGACCAGTCTGTCAGATGAAGAAGAGCCAGGGTCAGAGATTTAAATAAACAAATCAAGTTTGCTGAAGATAGTTTACAGCAGGCGTGTCCAAACTACGGCCCGCGGGCCATCTGCGGCCCGCAATAAGTTTTGTGGCGGCCCGCGAGGCTTTTTATAAATATCTATAGAATCTGGCCCGCTATA